TCCCAGCTTGCATCATTATGAAGTGCGCACTCTGATACTTCTATCCATACTGACACCGTCGCTTTGGAGCAAGTTATCCTCGGGTAAAACATCGCATTCATTTCATAGGGAAACACCTTATATTCTCCTTAAGGGGGTCTAATGTAATCCTTTACTCTATAATCACGATTTGCAGGGTGCCGATTCATATTCAACTCTTCCGTCCAGGCAAGTGGGAAGCTTTGGTCAGTCAACTATCCTGGCCTTTATCCTCGATCACTCTATTGCGAGTACATATTTCACGGTAGTGAAGAGCAGACTGTACATATACACTTTGAATATTTCGACGTTGAAGGCTTCAACCAGTGAGTTCGCTGTTATATCAATGATTCTCTTTATTCTTACTTCACGTATATACACTCCTTATGATAGAGTAGGCGTGGCACTCGAACATGGCACAGAATAAGTTACTCGTGGAATATTTCACTTTGCAACAGCTGTCATCTTCTTCTGTATTGAACAGAGACACGACCACAATTGGGTCAAATTGAAAATATCTCTCCAAAAGCTTAGCCACCGCCACGTTTAGTTGAAGTACGCAGCCACGCCTACCACATCTCAGGGATTCCGAGTATATGTAGGAATGACCATGACCAAACCTGGGTCTACTGTATGGCAATAAAATAAAAAGAAACGGCGCAATTCTGCTTGAAGGAAGAGCATTTTGCACTTACACTGCTTCTCATGTGAAGCCACTTGCACTGTGAAGTGGTGTTGTCACGACCTGGGATGTAGCGAGAGTGCAAGAATGCCGCCCGCGCGCGCAGACTGTAATGTATTACCTTGCTAGCAGGACACGTTCTGTGGTTGGGAGAAATTTCGTAACATAGGACCTTCCACTCCCTTCCCCATACCACCTACCACCTCGAAAAGTCAACAACCGAAAGCAATTTTCCCAAGGTGAATACGACTCACTCGCTAGAATGCCAACGTACGACGGGCCCTGCTAGTTAGTTGACTTGAAACAAAGCAGCGCTGCCACTTAACTCGACTGGGTTGTAGCACGAACGACTTCCGTTCGCGAGGTCTCTTTCACCGGAACTAGCAACGCGCATTGAAACCTATTTATAATTCGATACAAACACCCATGTAAAGTTCCAGAAAGGGGTATTGACGGATTTTTCAATCCCCGTTAACATCTTCCTTCGAAGAGAAGAAATGACCAATGAGGAGTTGTACGAGGTGGTAGAAACCCCACCACCTTTTTTTATCGTGTACAGTACCTTTGAAGTGAGCCAGTCTAACAGCCTTGTAAATGTAGATTCACACACACCAAGAGCCTACCAGCATATTACTTTTTTACTACACTTTTTTTCAACATATTGTTTCAGATGTGATGAGACCACGCAAAGTGACTTCGTCTTGTTCAGCAATTATCAAACAC